AAAATACAGTTATGTTACTAAAATTTCACGTTTACATATGCACGATTTCATGGTATGTTTCGCAAATTTTTGTGTTATTCCGTGACTTTTTGGAGGGTGCTGTACAGTGTATTGCAAAAGTTTTTGTAAAATTATACACGTAATTTAAATACACAAAACGCGATTGTTTACAAAACAATCCGCGTTGTATAAAATATATAATAAACTCACAAGCATACAGTTTTATTTCCGGTAAATTTTACTTCTATAATGTCAAAATCCGACAAAAAAACACAACGAAAACTTATATTACACTTGTGGAAGCAAGGCATTAATGATGCCAAACAACTGCATGAAAAACAAAAACAAAAACAAAAACCCCAGGATAATTCCCGTAAGAGCGTTAGTGGTTGTCCAGAAAGATTACGGCCAATACATCAAAAGCAATAGGACACTATGTTAGTAGAGATTCTACCATTTTTCTGTAAACTTTATCAAATAAACTGTCAAGAAATGGAGTAAGCGTTCACTATTCAACTACTCAACGACACATGAAAAAAATTTTATAAAAAAAATTTTATAACAAAGCAGTTCCATTGGCAACACTGATAGTCACAAAAAGCGGCGCGTGGAATGGGCTAAAAAAACAATGACTGGAGTCGAACCTTATTCTCAGATGAAACAGCTTTTATGTTGTAAGGCCGACTCGATCAATTCCGAAAAATAGAACAAAGATAAAGGCATGGGGTGGATTTTGCGGACTCAACTTTTCTGTTTCACTCAAATAATGGAGGCTAATTTTACGTTAATATCTTAGCAAATCATATGCTAGAATGCTTGGCAACAACTGGAGGTTTCAATAGGACAATAATCACAAACGTACAAGCCGTATTGCGATGGCATTCTTAAAGGAAAATGTACCTAAAGTCATCCAACAGTTTAGACTTAAACCCCATCGAAATCTCTGACATATTGTTAAGATCAACGTAGAAAGAGGAATGCCTCAAAGTCGGGCACAATTGGAAGAGTTTATGGTAGAATGGAATAAAATCTTATATAGAATCTATGAGAGGCAGGTGTCGTTTAGTGATTAAAAAAAAAAGGTGGCTTCTATATTAAATTTGATATAATAAATCTGTACGTTATAACATTTCAAATGAGGTATTACACATGTAATTTGGTGCGGTAGTTGTAAAGTTATTAAGAAAAATTCTATTCCGAAAACTTTTGTAAAACACTATTTTATCTGAAGGTAAAAGAAATCTTCGGTAAAGTTGTCATCTCTGCGTTGGCCGAGGAAGATGGTTCAAGGAAAAATTTAAATGACATGCATCAAGTGAGATAGATAAAAGGATTGATGAGAGCAATTGAAATCTTTGCAGAACTATCATAGACAACCTTTTACTTAACCTATGACGTCGATTTCGGTATATTAATATGCTTTTGTCAGTAGAAATATTTTCCAAACGTTCACCTTTATCTTATTCCTTTTAGAAAATATAATGGGTCTGGGCTCCAGTAAATAAAGACATAACTGTTCATCAAAGAGTATCTTTTAATGTCCACTGTAAAGTGATCGAAAAAAGAATATTTTCAATCGGAGACACGTGATCATTCACCTTGTGTTTTGTGGACGGACTTGATGCTTTCTATCTTAATATTTCTTCAAACCAGCAAGCGGAAAACTTTAAATTTTATCTGTATATAACTCCTAAGCCATCTGCATCCCAAGAGTCAAGATTGTAATTATTACTTTGACAACCAATAATTTGTTTGATTCTCTTTCCCCCCAATTTTATTTTTTCTGTTGCTTCTTCCAATTAAGCACAAAGCTGTTTCAATAAGGAACAATTGTAATGTCATCGTTTAGCCTTTACTAAAGGGGCATTACTTCTTCTATCGCAAGTAATGGTTATTGCCATACGGTCTATGTGAAACACATCCTTGGCCTCAGAATAAATTCAGATTCAATATTCTACTATTGTTGTTCCAAAATTTGCGCTCTATTTCTATTGCTTTAGGAAATTCTTGCCCAATACAGTCGAAAATTGATAGTGTGGCAGTTAGGAAAGGTGGGTACATAATTAATGAATTATTAGTGTTTAGTTGTACAAAACCACATGCAATTGTTGAGAAACGGGGACGCGGAATATGGCAATTCTCGACCTCGGAAATAAAGTAAATATATCGATTATTCCAAGTTAATAATTGTCTATCATTTAATGTATTAGTGGCAGTAGTCTTGGCTTATTTTTCATACATCGATATTTATAGATAAAATCAAATTAACGATCCCCGGCCTATCTTTAATTAGCATATAAATAGCTACGCAACTAATTCGTCTCCTATCTAATAGAATACTTGTGTCACTTGCAATTCATGTGTCCCATGTCTCCTCCAGATCGAGACATACCGATACCGGGAAACTCAAATAAGCACAAATGCGGTGCATATATTTTACGACTGTAGTAACTTGTTACACAACACATCAAGTACATTGGTATATTAATAGTATTAATTAATATTAACGTTAATCAATGCTAAATTCAACGTCATATTGGTCCTGAGAAAGGAAATTAAACAACGTTTTTAGCATTGTTCATTTTAGTGTGTAACATTCTTGACTCTACGTCACACTCGTTGATCAAAACTTTTTGTCACAGTTCGTTCTCTTTCCCGTCCTAATCTATTCGACTGGTTAATACTCACACATACACTTGTAATCTATGATACCCTCGCTAATTTACCCAGGCCATGGAATAATATCCTGCCGCATCCCATCAACATCCACCAAACCGGCATTCTCCACTTTTGCAGCATCGTATCCCCTCAAATTTCTTTCTCCTCGCACTCACTCCCCCTCGCTTGCAGCAGTCTATCTGCTTTCATACGGGGGAGGATTAGTCTCTGGAGACTCTATAACCATTGACATTGAATGTCATCCGGGAGTAAACCTCATGTTGCTGACGCAAGGATCGACAAAAGTCTTCAAACGGCGACCCAGAACCGTGCGCAGTGATGCGATGAAAGATATGAAAGATGTAAAAGATGTAAAACAGAAACGGACAGAACAAAGACTAAATGTAAAAGTCTACAGTAACGCATTAATAATGCAACTGCCGGAACCGACAACATGCTTCCGAGGTGCTGATTATAAGCAGAGACAAGTCTTTCGTTTAGAAGATGATACCGCATCGGCTATGATACTAGACTGGTTTACAAGCGGGCGCATGTCAAGGGGAGAGCGATGGGAGTTTATGAGATACGAGAGCGGGATAGATTTATTGGTAGGCGAGAACATGGTGTTTAGGGACGTTGTATTACTACACGATCAACACAAGAATGGACATGAAAACGAACTCGATTTATCAAGTACGAAGAATATGGACGTAAAGACTATGCTGCATCCGTACGAGTGCTTTGCCACATTATTATTATATGGGCCAAGGGTTTTCCCGTTAGCCGAGGACATTCTCGGTGAATTTAAAAAGATTACACTCCATAAAAGCTCAAAATTGATGGGATTACTATGGTCTGTGAGCGTGATATATAGGCGTGAAACAGCAGGTACTGAAGAAAGTATGAGAGGAATCGTTGTCAAAGTTGCGGGAACGACAACAGAGATGGTTAGAAACTTTTTGAATAATGTGTGTTTGCGCGGGTTGGATGATCTCGTTGGTGAGAATCTATTCGCGAGAGGAATTTGAGATTATTATTAGAGTTGCACTAATTTGTAATAAACCCCATAGTAATAATGTAATGCTATTTGTTTGAAAGACTGGTTTGTCGAGTGTGGTGAAATTGGCGCAGTTTTGAAGAGGGTAGTTTTATTGAACTGATGAACAAATTGTTATGTAGACGGATAATCCGACATTATTATGTGGTAGTGGTAAAATTAATCCGTTTATACTCGAAAGCCATAGGTGGCGTATTAACAGTGTGCAGTTATACATGTTCGATCATATGACATAAGTTTAAGCAACTAGTAAGTGGCTTACTCCATAAAGTATGTCAATTAATTAACACTAAATACCTCATTCGCTTCACATAGACGCAGTACGCATGAAATATATGATAATTTCGTATAACATATTTAATAGGTTATGGATACTCGAGCGATCTAGTGATCAAGTTGTTTCAACTATAATAGCACAGTCCCTAATCGAGATTTAAAAATAACAAAAGCGCTTATTTACTACCACAACAAATAATGTTTGTAATTATTTCAGGGTCATCAATTATAATTAGTAAGCACGTACTATTTATGGTTCTTTGTGTATAAATACGGAAGGGAATGAATGACGTATAGTATGTATGCATATAGGAGGACAAACATTGATCAGTCTTCGAGAAATGTTTGATAAATTGATGCCAGCCGAATAAGACTTTGACATATTAATATTGATGCCAGAGATACCTAAATATACTGATATTACCACCAGCCAATCAGGCGCTTTTCCTCCAAAAACGACATTGATCAAACTTGGATAGCCATTGAGAGCGGTCTTCTACAAATGTTTGACTAATATTGATTTCAATGACTTGGTACCTTTCTGATAAGCGATACCTAAATTTATACTTCCACCTAAATTTATATTGACATTACCACAAGCCAATCAGACGCCCTGATCGAATTTAGAATTCTTATGTCATAAAAGGAAAGGGCCGGAAATTCCATCGCTAGTATGGATAAAAACTTGACACCCCAAATTGATGCCCCTTTCCCATATCCGGAAATGATAGTACAAGTGTCAAATAATACTACGTATAATGAATATACAATACATCAGCAAGTCATCATTTTCCATTATTCATCAAAATCTATAAAAAGCCCTTATGAAAAAACCTGTACTGGCATTGCGAGGGCAATCACTGCATTTCCAATACCAACTAACTCGCTCATTATACACACATCAAATACCACGATCCCTTACCCGACATTACCCATCGTCTCTACACTGGATTGTGAGAGCGTATCCATTATCACCACCATCGATAGACGTGTTCAATAACCTTTTCACTCACATATCTCTTTTCCGTCTCGTAAATCAAATATCACAAACACACCCGTACACACGTCTTCCCTCTCATCAGCATATTATAAACCTTCCTTTTCACCAGCAAATAAATTTTGTAAGGGATCGATAGCCGGCATCATAATCCAGATAATTGTGTTGCCATTACCTACTTGTAATAAATACACAGAATGCATTACAAGTCTTCCGTGTTCTTCACAGCAACGTTACTCCTTGCACTTTCGGTGCTTTCTACGGCAGATCTAGCCGGTGATTGGCCTCCTCTGGACCAACCTCCTCCAATGAAACCAGAGTGGGCTGCATTGGTTGATAAAAAAAAGGTACCAAATGCTCCCGTACAAAAGAAAGCCGCAGGCGACTGTAAAAAAGCTCAAGCTTTTTGTAATTGGTCATGCGATAATTGTGTGAGGGAGGAAAGCGATTTTACAGTCTGTCCGAATTCAGGAGGTAAGAATTAAATTCGGATAAATCATGATAAAAGATAACATTATACGTTAATATTTGGCAATTTATTTTACAACGACATTAATCGCATCAAAATTATTTCATAATATATAGATTGGGGTATTACTTATGACGATGGACCATCACCCAGCACACCAGCGCTTCTCGACTTTCTCGATAAAACCAACACCAAGGCCACATTTTTCGTTGTTGGTTCACGTGTTGTCGAAAATCCCGAGATACTCAAGCGTGCGTTCGACGCCGGACATCAAATAGCTATGCACACATGGTCACATCCTGCACTTACGACTCAAACCACAGACCAAATTATTGCCGAGATTAAATGGACCGAAGAGGCAATCAAGGCTGCAATTGGAGTTACTCCCGTATTTGCAAGACCACCATTTGGCGATTATGATGACAGAGTAAGAAGCATTTTGACTCAGTTGGGATACAAAATTGTTATATGGGATGTGGATACGTTTGATTGGCTTTCAGACGGCAATCCAAACTACAATCCTGCGCTTATTACTGGAAATGCTACAGCTGGTGCTAAAGACAAGTCAAAAGGACACATTTCACTTGAGCACGATTTATACCCAGTGGCTGCCAAGACTGCTCCTCGTGTCATTGAAATTGTCAAAAATGCTGGTTTTAATGTCAAGCCTGTGTCAGTATGTGTTGGAGCGAAACCATATAAAGAAGATGTAAACACAACGACTACAAGCACAAGCGCGAATACGAGCACGAGCACGAGCATGAGCACGAGCACGAGCACGAGCGCAAATACAGATCCAAGCAAGTCCACTACCAGTTCCACTGCATCGGCAACCGCCGCCAGTGATTCTTCAGGTTCAACTGACAGTAATGTCAACGGAGACGCATCTTCGGCCAGTCGTTCATATTTTGCTTCATCACTTGTATCATTGATTGGATTGACGCTTTTCCTTATTGGTTAACGGTAGACAGACATTCATTGTAATTATTGAACAGTTGGTACATTTAAATCAAGTGTGTATCTTGACCTGTTAGATATTATATTATACACATTAGAACACTTTGTTAATTTGGGCTATATTAATATACAATATCTATACATAACAATAATGATTTTCGGTCTTTGCGTATGTATGTAATAAAGACATTAGACCAAAAACCCCTTGTTGACCATTTACGATTTGAGTGCGTTTCAGATGTGGGTGATCGACATGTTTGACTATTACTATTACTATTGTTAAAGTACATTTATACCGGAATCGTATGATCGACATGCCCAGAAAGTCAAAACTTTCAATATCAATGAAAGTGGCAGAAATATCTGCCCTTTGTTCTTGGCTAGCTTTGTTTTCGAAACGTTTGCTTGGCAAAAGTTCCCTTTAGTTTGATAAAGCAATTTTGTTACACACATCAACTGTTATCATAACTAATACGTCAAATCTACGTTGTCTGATTACCGTAAACTAGTTATTTGTTTAGACTACCTATTTTATACAGTGTGGTCGTTTCAAATTTGTCACCGTATTTCACTAAATTGATATCCAAGACTTTAATCGTAGATTCATTGTAATTAACTATGTTAACTTTTATGTTGACTTATTCTATTGCAACATATTAGACATGCGGGTAATAAAGATTATGAGCAATAGTACGGCAAATTAATCAATCGTTATATAAACAAAAGGTCTCAAGAGTTTTACTAAGAACGAAGTCACTACATCATTATCATGCTAGCTCTAGTAAAATACAATATGATGACAGCTGATCTAACAATTATTACCGAATTTAACTAATTGTGAACGGACTAAATAGTGACGCTATTCTGTGGCGTCATAGAACAAGATGTCTCTGCTGCTCAAGTTCTGTACTGTATGAAAAGAAGGGTATTAGACTAGGAAGCTACTACGGTATGTCGGCTGAATCGCTAGTTTTAGACATACTGTTCTCGGCGAAAAGATCAAGATAATGGCTTTTTTTAATATCTAAACCTAACTGTATAAATGAAGCTTTCAGTAAGTTGACAAGTAAAGTTGGGTTTACAGTAGATTGGACAAAATTATAATGTTTGATTTTGATCTTCTAACAGGTCTAAAGACCTAAACTAAGACAGTTTCACCGGCACTGCAGCTAGTGAGATGGTAGAAAGACGTATAAGCAGCCAATAATCACAGCACAGCAAACATTATCTTCCATATTCCAAAAGTTAAATTCCTTTCGACAATAATCGATCGATAGTAGAGTAACCTTACGAAAACACATTTATTTCTACTTTCCGATAAACCGGGCAGCGCTAATCCTCTATCTGCTATTGCTACTATACTTGTTTATGGACTGGCAAATACGATTACTATTTAATTGAGAAGCGCACGTTATAGTTGATACACTTGAACCCAACCTATAGGTCATTAGTCTAATCGTGCTAGTAGAAATAATGGTAGTATCTCGAGGTTGAATATTGATACAACAAGATCGATTAAAGGTCACTAGCTTGTCCAAATATATTTAGCAGCGGTAGAGAGATTGTTAAAGCTCGGTAATAACGGCCTAAATTCCAAAGTCGATCAATATTATGATCAAACGCTATACAACAATGATGAGACCAGATTGTATTACTATAGATTACCCGACCCTACGATTAATTGTCAGGACTAACTAAAATAGCAGACTGAGTTTGAGATCGACAAAATATACTAATACATTAATACTAACTATCGCGAGGAACTTTTATTTACATTAATACTAACACAGATTACAATAATTATCGTCGTAATTGTTTATGGAATCCCTTCTTGTGCCTCCACCCGTGGGATACCAGCATATCGATTTTCTTTGAACGTGATAAACTTGACATATCCCAACAAAGCACATTGTTCTAATAGCTTCTCAATCGTGTGTAGAAGAAAATTCGAGACATTGTATCGCATGACGTCTGTGGCATTGTAAAGAGAACTATCAATAGATCTGTCTCATGAGATTTTCGCACGCTTTCAACAGTTCCTTAATAAACTGTGTAACAAAACAAACGACAAACGTTTATGTCATTCATATAAAGAGTTTAGACCAACAATTTAATTTCCTGCTCTCAATACTTTCAGCCGCAATACTCGTAACCACCAATCGGTATCATAGCAATCAGTGGCTAGCATGATGGCATCTTGGTAAAATATTCAATTAGCATATTTCCAATGTCAAGTTATCACGTTTAACTCGTGCAACAAGACAATCGTATGACACTTCTGAGGGGCAGTAGAAAGGTAATAAGAAAAAGCTTATTGTGTAATAGAATACAGTATCTTGATGTTCTGTATTTTCTGTATTTCGTAAAAACAAAATTAAATAAATTTTTATATTCCTAATCAATATATTCTTATATTTTAATTAACTTTAATTTAATAATAATCCCCGTTATATCTTCCTGCAAGGTTAGATTATTATTATACTCGTCGTACTTCGCCCCGTCGACATAGTCGATCGGGCTCAGCACGACTGCTCTAGTTGAATCAGTAAAAAGTTCACTACACGGTGAGTAAGTTACAGTGTTGGTGTATTTATAGTTTACAAATGTATTTACTTCCAATCACATTATTTCTAGTGGAACGTCTTGTCATTTTGGTCTATACCAGAATGCAAGCTGTTGACCGTTGTCAAAGCAGTCATTTTGTAGACGTCGATGCAAGGAAACCATCTTTGCCCACTCTCCTAACAGAAAAAATGCTTGCAACCTGGACTCCAACCGAAAGGCTTGTTATCTTTTTATGTGAAGACGGCATCTTATTCTCAGATTCGTGGATTGGGAACAAACATGTAATGATTGTCGATGCAGTCGGTGGAACGAAATGGGACATTAATACATATGATCTTATAAGTGAATACCATAATTTTGGAAAGATACCCATCTTCAAATCCACAGGAGAAGACGTCTATGCTACTTGCGATAGTGATAACAACGTTCCGGTGATCAAGGAGTTAACCGAAACAGACCTAACAGCAAAGGTACAGAGCAAAACTGTGTAAGCACGATGGCACATTGCTTTATGAAACAGGCATGACGTATATTAAAGGTGGGAATCAGGACAAATTGCATGACATTGTTGAGCTTACGGTAGAACCATGGTACTTTCAGAACAATCGAACTACAACAATATTTCTGCTAGACGATTACAATAATCGAGTGCTTCTTTTCGGCAAACAGACAATACAGATGTAGAACTTTGC